TGTTGTGTGTTTTCTGGATGATTGTGGGTCTGTTTGTTGTGTGTTTTCTGGATGATTGTGAGTCTGTTTGTTGTGTGTTTTCTGGATGATGGTGGGTCTGTTTGTTGTGTGTTTTCTGGATGATTGTGGGTCTGTTGTGTGTTTTCTGGACGATTGTGAGTCTGTTTGTTGTGTGTTTTCTGGATGATGGTGTGTCTGTTGTGTGTTTTCTGGATGATTGTGAGTCTGTTTGTTGTGTGTTTTCTGGATGATTGGGAATCTGTTTGTTGTGTGTTTTCTGGATGTTAGTTTGTGTTTCCAGAGATGGACTCACAGCAGGATGAAGAGCTTCAACAGCTGGTACTCCATGTGACCCAGTTCAGGTACTGGTTCTGTCAGCAGGATCTTCTCTGTCTCCAGACTGCTGTCTGCACACACAGAAACGCACACTTTAACATCTGTCACTCTGGAGACTTCCCGTGACCCCTGATTGACAGGTGGGCGGGGCCTTACTGGTGAGCGTGTGCGGGCTGAAGGGTGTGTCGGCGACGAGGCCGGGGGAGGAGTTTCCCAGCAGGTCAGGGAGGGAGGAGGAGACGGCGGGGAGCGATGGCTTCCTCCTCCACTTCAACACCTCTGGATACTCGTCCTGACGGAGAGAGGACAGTGAGGACGGATCAGACTATCACCTGGAGAAAGACACCTTCAGGTGTTGGGACGGCATCAGTCTGAATTTATGAATTCATAAAATCTTTGACACATTTCACTGATCAGACTTAAAAATAAACAAAATGGAACCAAAAACAAAAACAAGTTTGTGCTTAAAGAAGAAAAAACAGAAATAAATACATTTGTAGCAAATAAACAAGGCGGTAAATGCAAAGAGGAAATAATAGATAGATAAACAAATAATTAATAAGTAAATAATTAAATAAAAATGGAAATTTAAATGGGAAAGTAAATAAAAAAGGGAAATAATACAAAGTTAAATAAATACAGAAGCTAATGAAAACAGAAATATCACTTTATTTCAAATTAAATTACTTAATTGTATAATAATATAATAATAATTTAAGTTTAATATTATTTTTGATGCATTTAAAGACATTAATTAATTTATTGAGTCATTTATTTATTAATCTTTGGTTTTGGCAGTTTCGGTCCTCCATTAGTTCACCCTGAAAAATGTTGTGTGAAACTATTTGTTCAGTTTTTGTGTTTTTGGATATTTTGATATTATTCTGCACAAAATAAATCAAAAGAAAAACAGGTGACTATGAATAATAAAAGCAAAGGTTTTAATTAATGACAAACATATGAGCAGAACAGAATTACCTGAGACTTCACCTGAGTATACCTGAGTCATGGCTCAGAGACAGTGAAGGAAAGTAATCAAGTACTTTTACTCAAGTACAAGTGACACGAGTATTTCCATCTTACTCTAAATTACACCTCTACTCCTCTATACTTTACTTTTTACTGCAGAACATTTATCTGACAAAAATATAACAACTCATAAAATCCAAAAAAGCCTTTTTAAAGATTATTATCATTATTTAAAAGTTTAGTTTTTATAGGTATTTTACTGAAGTACAGTTTCTTCAGCTCATAATTATGGTATTTCAGGCAGAACCTGAAGGCAACGCAGGGAAAGCCTCTTATCCAGGGGCTGTGAAGGGGTCACGGGGGGTCACCACAGGACCAAAACAACAGCTCCTGGTATTCCACTAATCTGTTTTCACTGAGTGCTGACTCACATCTAACACGGCTGATTTCACCTGGTTTCTTCTTCTATGGTTTTTATTTTCCCTCTGTCACTGGGACACACTCCTCTCTTCATTCAGCCTGTGTATGGAGGGCGGGGTTTATAATGTCAATACTATTCAGGTATAAAACGACACAAAGAGTCAGAAGTCAAACCGAGGCTGACACTGACAGTTCTTTTAATTAATTAATAATTAGTCGTCGTAAAATTGTGAAAAACGTCCAAAATAATGTTCCAGAGGCTGATTTTTTATTTGATTTAATCATCAATTTTATTGTATTTGTGTTTAAAAATCACTGATGTTGTGACTCTTTTATCTTTAATTTATTTTTCAACTACTAATATTTTATTGCATTTTTATTCCTTGTGTTCACTCGTCTTAAACTGTCACTGTCTCATTATCAGACTGTCAGTCGTCTGTCAACAGAACTAACCTGTATTTATTAATAAAGTTTGATTGATTAATTGATTGATTGATTGATTGATTGACAGACTGACATCACCGACTGTTAATATAACAGCTGGAAACATGATCACTGTGTTACCATGGACAGAGAGCTGGGCTCCTCCAGGTACTGCTTCAGACTCAGACTCTTCCCGTTCACCTGGAAACAGGAAACAGTCAGACAGGAAACAGCCAGACAGGATCAAACTGGAGAGAAACAGACTGAATCTTCTGACCCAACCCCCCTAATATGTCGTACAGGTGAACCACAAACCTGCAGGTGAGTGCAGATCCTCCTCAGGACATCATAGACACTGTCTCTGGAGAGCAGGGACACAAAGACATACTGCAGAGACAGAGAGAGAGACAGAGACAGAGAGAGAGAGACAGGAGGTCACTCTATAGTTCATGGCATGGCAGCAAAATGTTTTCAGTCGCTGCACAGAGGACATGTGTTGTACTGTGTGGTGTGTACCTGTCCTGTCTGTTACCTTCTGTCCTGTATCCATGGTGATGGCCAGCCCGTTCGGCACCAGACCGGCCGTCTTGTGCTTCTTCACCAGCCGGACTGACACCACTGGAATAGAAACCTGCAGATAGAGAGAAGAAGAGTTCAGAAATTTCACATCCAGTCGGAGCTGATCTGCACCGAACTGAACAAACTCTTTCAACCGACCGACCGACCGACTGACCGGCCAACCAACCAACTAACCAACCAACCAGCCAACCAACCAACCAACCAACCAACTAACCAGCCAGCCAACCAACCAACCAGCCAACCAACCAACCAACCAACCAACTAATCAACCAATCAACCGACCGACCGACCGACCGACCGACCGACCGACCGACCAACCAACCAACCAACCAACCAGCCAGCCAGCCAGCCAGCCAGCCAGCCAGCCAGCCAGCCAGCCAGCCAGCCAGCCAGCCAGCCAGCCAGCCAGCCAGCCAGCCAGCCAGCCAGCCAGCCAGCCAGCCAGCCAGCCAGCCAGCCAGCCAGCCAGCCAGCCAGCCAGCCAGCCAGCCAGCCAGCCAGCCAGCCAGCCAGCCAGCCAGCCAGCCAGCCAGCCAGCCAGCCAGCCAGCCAGCCAGCCAGCCAGCCAGCCAGCCAGCCAGCCAGCCAGCCAGCCAGCCAGCCAGCCAGCCAGCCAGCCAGCCAGCCAGCCAGCCAGCCAGCCAGCCAGCCAGCCAGCCAGCCAGCCAGCCAGCCAGCCAGCCAGCCAGCCAGCCAGCCAGCCAGCCAGCCAGCCAGCCAGCCAGCCAGCCAGCCAGCCAGCCAGCCAGCCAGCCAGCCAGCCAGCCAGCCAGCCAGCCAGCCAGCCAGCCAGCCAGCCAGCCAGCCAGCCAGCCAGCCAGCCAGCCAGCCAGCCAGCCAGCCAGCCAGCCAGCCAGCCAGCCAGCCAGCCAGCCAGCCAGCCAGCCAGCCAGCCAGCCAGCCAGCCAGCCAGCCAGCCAGCCAGCCAGCCAGCCAGCCAGCCAGCCAGCCAGCCAACCAACTAACCAACCAACCAGCCAACCAATCAACCAGCCAACCAATTAACCAACCAGCCAACCAACCAAAAATGATAGATGAAACAGTTGTGACCTTTGACCTGTAGATGTTTCATTACATCATTATATTATATATATGTATTATTTTCTCTTATTTCAGGCTGGGTGTGTGAGATGTGCGTGTTTCAGTTTGGAAATAGTTTTTAAAAACCTCCATCTTTAGAGCGTGAAAAACGTTAAAAATTCACTGAGCGTCTCCTCTCACCTTGATGTCTTTACCAAACAGGTTCGCGTAGAAACACAACCAGTTCCTGGAGATGTAGAGGCGACCCTGCAGCAGGATGTCTCTCAACAACGCACAGGAATACACTGCAGAAGAAGAAGAAGAACACGAAGAAGAAGAAGAAGAAGAAGAAGAAGAAGAGACATCAGTTCACTTCTGCTGCAGCTGTGATCTCATGTTTTCATCTGGAGCTGGAAACAAATATTAAACAAATGTACAACACACACACACACACACACACACACAAACACACACACACACACACACACACACACACACACACACACACACACACACACACACACACACACACACACACAAGCTGAGCCAGATGAAATGAGAGACAGACAGGTGAGACAGGTGAGACACCGGTACCTTTCATCAGGATCTCCTCTTTGGGGACAGTCTGGAACAGTTTGTGGTACTGAGAGTTGTACTTGCTGACAGTCTGTGGACAGAAGGAGGGACATTATCAATCACTGATAATCGCTCATTCAGCTGTGATCAATAATCATGAGTCCATCCGTCACTGTAGCTGCTGGAGATATGTGTGAAATCAATATGAATAACGATCAGAACGAGTACAGGTAGAAGTCTGTTCTCCCGCCTGATCGGAGCTTCACTCGTCCTGGAGCTGGATTTATTTATTTATTCTAAAGTCTTTATTTCCTCATGTTTTCATGTTTTCATGTTTTCATGTCTCTGTTGTTGTTTTTATTCATTCCTGTTGATTGTAGTTTGTTTGTTTTTGTCTGTTGCTGTTGTGACTGAAAGTTTCTTTGTCCCACAAAACTGTAGAGATTAGATTAAAAATAAACATATTAGTATAAATACGTGTGACAGGTGTGGTATATCTCAGGTGTGTTATAAATACGTGTGACAGGTGTGGTATATCTCAGGTGTGTTATAAATACGTGTGACAGGTGTGGTATATCTCAGGTGTGACACTGAAACTTGAAACACTTTTACTTGCTGTGTTTAGGGTTTTGGACTCTCGGCCGTGTTTTGTCTGAGTTTTGTTTTGGCTGCTGATATTTGGGTCAGGAGTTACATCATGTGAACGCCTCCCCCCCGTCACACCTGTGTGTCTTTATTCTCTGAGAGCCAGACGGCCACTTCCTGTCTTCCTGTTCCCGTCTGAAACAACAAAGACTGAAACAACAGAAGCAGAAGCCGCGGCTCGTCGCCTCCATGCTGCTGCTGAAGCTGCTTTCAGCATTTAGGTCAAACTACGAACTCTGACCCTGAGGACGTTTGTGAATCTGGAGTTTCATCTTGTGCTTTTGTTTTTTAAATAAAGTTTCATTCATAAATAAACAGCAGCCGACAGACTTAAAGCTCAGTCTCTGAGGAGGATCTTGAACTGGCACAAGCTGTGACTGTTCACGACACGAGGCGCAAAGCTCAGAAACATCTGATTATTATTATTCTGGTTTTAATGTCAAACCTTCATCTGCACAAGAACTGCTGGTGAATAAATGCAGAGCAGTAGAAGTGAATTATTCCCTCTTTAATGAGCTCTGAAAGTACTTTTCTTTCTGAAAATATGATTTAGTTACAGGTTTGTATTTTTAATATCAATATATATTTTATTCATTTTTAGTGTGTCAGCCTACGACAGAGTTTCTGCGTCTGTGCTTGTGTTTGTTAAAGTTAAGTTTTCTAGGTCTGATTTCTCCTCGGCTGAGGGAGTTACTTCGTCTCGGTGGTTAGAGTAAGAGGTTCCGTTGGAGCCATTAAGAGTTTTTGAGTTAAACAAGTGAAATGTGTAGATCTGTGTGTGCAGCGCTGCTAGTTTATGGTTGTGGTGACAGTTTCCAACCGCTCACCTTTTATTTTGTAAAAAATCAACTGTGTCAGTTGTTGAAGATGATTCACATCTATACATCCGTGTGTGTGTGTGTGTGTATGTGTGTGACCTCAGAGTCGGAGAAATCTGACACTAAGTTCATGACAGATCCGACATGTGACGACATGTCTGACGTGTCAGTGAGAACTCTCCCTTTAATGCGTCTGAATTCACATGATGAAACATAAATACAGAACGTTTCATTTGAACTGTGTTTGATGGTTGACTGTAACTGTCTGTCTGCTGGAGCACACACACACACACACACACACACACACACACACACACACACACACACACACACACACACACACACACACCCCTGCACATGTTCCCATGGAGACGAGACAGACGCCGGAAACTTCTGCAGAGACTTAAAACAAGATTTGAAAAGACTCCTGCTGTGGACCAACAACTACAGAGCTACAGAGCCGTGTGTGTGTGTGTGTGTGTGTGTGTGTGTGTTATATCGGCCACATGCATCAGTAGGTGTGGTGTTCAAGTCTCATTGTGTTGCAGAGTGAGCGACTCACTGAGCCTCTGTAGCACTTCTTCACGTCCTCGTAGGACAGGTCGTCGATCAGCTGCAGCCTGGAGGACACAACAGGACACATCAGGACACAACAGGACACATCAGGACACATCAGGACACATCAGGACACATTAGATCAGAGTGAACACACACAAACTACAGTTTCTGCAGAGAGAGAAGCTCATTTGACCTTTAGAGCTCAGAGTAAAAGCATTTTATCAACTCTCTTTACTTTAGAAATGACTCATCCAGGCTGAAGTTCAGGAGATGAGTCCTGACCTGTGAGGAGCTGCAGCAGCTGGAGACTCTGAGCTCATGAAAAGACACAACTTCAACTAAGATCGAATCATTTCTGACCTTGTGCAGGAAGAAAAAGAGACAAGCTGCTCACACCGTCATATGTTCCATCCAATCATCTCTGCAATAACCTCAGACTGTAACTAAAGGCGGACGTTCCCTGTGACGTCCCCCTCAGGTTTCTGAGGCTCAGAGTGAGCTGCTCCACCATCGCCATCTTGGCAGTGTCTGATTCCGCCCCCTAACTCCCAGCTAATCCAAAACTGAGACAGTGTCTTACTGCGTCTCAATGAAGAACTAGAGCCACCTCCTCATGGTCGTATCCCACCGCAACTCGAACTAGTCCCAGGTCACTTCCTGTTTATCCAGAGTCAGAAAAAATATGAAGCATGTGTGAGATTTAGTCAGAATTGCTGTGAAGTCTTGAGTAATTTGAAGAAATTCCCTCAAGGTTTTACTGAGATATCATGTGCATGAGGATGAGACGACCTCTGACCTCTGAGTTACTCTTCATGAAATTAGTTTAATTGTGTGGCTCAGTGTCTGAGTCACCTCCGTGACTCGGCTGTCACACGGTTACATCATGTAACCGCTGTGATCAGATGGTTGTTATCAGGAGCCTCGTGGCGGTGAGGATGTAAATGTGACCACAGAGAACTGTTGTTGAACAGTCACATGAAAACACATCACACATGAAACTGCACTGAAACCCTCAATCTACACAACCCAGAGTGTGTGTGTGTGTGTGTGTGTGCGTGACTTTAACCTGCAGCTGTCTGGTATAAAGTTCGTTTCTCATTTTCAAAAACTATAAACAAAAGTTAAATTTAGATTCATGGATGTGAAACTTCATCAAACTGATCGTAGATACAATATATAATTTATGTTTATTATATTTATCGCTGAAGATCCCAAACAGCAGCTACATGCTGCCAGCGAGCGAGTCTGGATGACATTTCAGTCATGTGACTGATGCCAGACAAAAAGAAAAGAAACATCTGAGGGTGAAGAAGAAGAAGAAGAAGAAGAAGAAGAAGAAGAAGAAGAAGAAGAAGAAGAAGAAGAAGACGAGAAAGAAAATGTTGAACTGGAGAGACGATGTTTATGATGTAAACAAAACACCGTTTATGTGATGTCCTTCCTCCTGCATGCTCCGCCCACCCACCCATTTGACCTTTGATCCCCAAAATCTAATCACTTTGTCCTTGAGTCCTGGTGAATGTTTGTGCCAATTTTGAAGAAGTTTCATCAAGGTGTTGTTGAGATATCGTGTCCATGAGAACGAGACGGACGGACGACCTGAAAACAAAATGGCTGCCGCTCTGACTGTCGCCGAGGCAGTGAGGTACAGTTTTGTGTTTGGGAGGGGGGAGTGCTTTGTTTTGTTTAGTCAGTGCGGTGATGTCACTGTCACACAGCTGTGGTTGGAGGGTCACTTCAGTGAGTGTTTCCAGATGTTGGGGAAGACGACGCAGTAACTTCCTCCAATAAAAAGCAGGAATCAATTAAAAGCCGGATCTGTCCAGTAACAGCCAGGGGGCGTGGTCGACACGAACCAATAACGTCCAGTGCCAAAAGACAGGGAAATAACATGGGAGGAGTCTGTCACATCATGTGCAGCTGGTTCATAATAATGTTCCTCCATCTGTCGCCCTGACGATGAGTCCTGACAGGAAATTAAAAAAACACAAATAAAATGTGGAATCATGTGATCAGCGACGCATATCCCCCTCCAACAAACAGCTCTGACAGTGTGTTGCTTTAAGAAATCTCTCACACACACACACACACACACACACACACACACACACACACACACACACACACACACTTGCATCTGATTTCATGGAGGACGATCATGTAAATGTCCCGACAGAAGGAGCAACTCCACACGAAGCTCATGCAAAAAGAAAAACAGCTGACGGTCGTTAACACGTCAACATGTTCCCACCATCCACACACACACACACACACACACACACACACACACACACAGGAGCACTGAGAGGCCAGTGTGTGTGTGTGTGTTTCGGTGTGTGTGTGTGTGTTTCTGTATGTGAAAGGAGTGATTGTCTAAAAGGGCTAATGATGGTTTCCAAAACACACACACACACACACAAACACACACACACAGACACACACACACACACACACACACACACACAGACACACACACACACACACACACACACACACAGACACACACACACACACACACACACACACACAGACACACACACACACACACACACACACACACAGACACACACACACACACACACACACACACACAGACACACACACACACACACACACACACACACAGACACACACACACACACACACACACACACACAGACACACACACACACACACACACACACACACAGACACACACACACACACACACACACACACACAGACACACACACACACACACACACACACACACAGACACACACACACACACACACACCGAAACACACACACACACACACAAACACACACACACAGACACACAGACACACGATAGAAGAACTAATTATTCAAACAGTTGGAGCCTGATGGGAGAACTGGAGCAGAGACAGAAGCTGCGTTCACACTCGGCCGTCAGAAACAAAACTGTTGTTTACACGTCAAACACGTTTCACTGATTCGTTTTAAAGAAAACAATCGTCACGTGGTCGCCGGCGCCGCTGAACAGAAACGGGGCCGGTGGGACACGTCCCGTCTCATACATCAGTCTCCCGTCTCCTGCGGGAACCTCAGTGAACTTTGACCCGAAGATCTGTGCCAATGATGTCACACAGTGAGGTCACAGGAGGACGTGATGCAGCGGAGACTTCCTAAATGAACCTAGTGTCCCGTTAGCGTCGAGCTAAGCTAACAAGGAGAGCTTTACTGTGCCTCTTTAATAACGTTTTATCTGACGAAGTGGAGAGAGCAGCAGACAGAGAATCTGCAGGAGCTGCTGTGACTCAGCGGAGGCAGAGTGCATGATGGGAGCTGGACAACACACTCAGTGTCCACTCAGCTCAATGAAAACAAGCCAAAAAAGCTTTTTGCATTGTGCAGCCAACTGCACATGCTCATTAGTGTTTCCCCCGCCGGCCCCGCCCACGTTCCTCCTCATGATGACATCACACAAAAGAAACTGTGGGGAAGTTGAATAAAAATCAAACTTCAGTGGTTTAATGTTCATGATAGAAAGAGTGAAAAGTCTGAGGCGTTTCATAATGATGATCTCATGGATCCTGGAAACCAATCAGCAGATGGGGGTCTGGCCCCTCCCATTCAGACAGATATCCATCCATCCAGAAAGTGGGCGGGTCAAACACAACCATTTATCTACAATGGAGCAGGTTTGATACGATGACTGACACAGGAGCGCCGCCGAAGCATTTTCGTTTACAAACAAGATGGCCGCCGCTGTTTGACAATATTAAACAAACCTGACGTTTTACTTCCTGTAAGAGAAGAAGAACTGCACCTTCGCTCTCGTCTCAGCTCCACACAGGCCCCTCCTCTTTCCACAATTTTGGATTAGCTGGGAGTTAGGGGGCGGAGTCAGACACTAGCAAGGTCCAACATCCATCGTTATTTACAGTCTCTGATTGGTCGGTCAGCTCCACACCCACTCATAAATGTGAGCTGGTCTGGTGACGGCAGTACCATGAACGTCCACTGGGGCATGTCTGCAGGAGTGGTGGCGCCATATCAACGCTTCAATACATCCATGGTGGTCGCTCAGCTGGCTAACGAGTTAGCGGTTAGCTCGTCAGCTACAGCAGCTAGCATGTCATGACACGTCGCTCTTTTTACTGCTGAGGATGTAAACTCAGAACTGTGGACTTTAGTCTGTTATGTGTGTGTGTGTGTGTGTGTGTGTGTGTGTTGGTAGGCTGTGAATTAAGGCTTTACACCAGCTACACACACACACCTCCTCCTCCTCCTTCTTCCCATCAGCCTCTCTGTCTCTCTCTGAGCTTTGCTGCCTGGAAACGTGAGCTGAATGCACGTGCTGCTGCAGACACACACACACACACAGACACACAGACACACACACACACACACCAGAACACACACACACACACACACACACACACACACACACCCTCTGATTCTGCAGCTTGTTCAGTACGTGACAGGAATAACAGAGCGGTGAGACACTGAGGCTTTCCCTCTCTGTGCATTGTCTCTCCTGCACGTCTCCTCAGCTTTCATCTGCTGCCAAACACACACACACACACACACTGTAGGTACCCAACACACCAAAAAAACAAAATCAAAAAAAACTTCCACAAACACAAAAAAAAAAAAAACAACAAAAGTTCCCCCCCGGAAAACCCCTATGAGCGAGCTGGTTGATTGCGAGGAGGTGGGATCAGGACGTGATTCATCCACCTGACGTTAGTCTTCCTGTACCCTTGCACATGTGGACGCTACTGTCTGTCTACAACATCTGGCTTCCTCTGGACACCAGCTGTGAGGCTCGTCCACTCCCAGCAGCTGCCGGAGGTTTCCACCTGCAGCCCGACCACATCTGTTCCCTCAGACCAGAGCGAGGCCGAGCGCTGCTTGTGTCTGAGACACAGTCGGGAACATGTCGCGTGTTTAACAGAACTACTGCAGGGATCAGTCAGGGACGGAAAGTAACTTTTACTCAACTATTGTACTTAAGTACATCAATTCTGAGGTACTTGTACTTTACTTCTCGTTTAAATAATTGTAATGTTTCAAAAATTCCCAACAAAATAAAATTTTAGAGAAAAGTCCAGAAACTGAATCCAGATCAGTGGATCAGAACTTTGATTCTTCTTCTTCTCCAAGTGATGAAATAAAACATCATCAGTCACATGATCTGGTTCAAATGTTTCTACATTTGTGTGAGTGTATGTGACGTAGTTAAAGCAGCTTCAACAGTAAAATGACTCAGGATCAATGATCAATGATCTGATCAGAGATCAGTGAGGGGGCAGTTTACAGCACAATGAAGCTTCACTGTGACACTTTGTGTGAAGGATCTGAGCTCGTGTTTGTTTGTCACAGAAACGTCTGAGTCTCATTTTGAACCACAAGTGGTTGAACCTCAACAGACGTCGTGTAAGTTGCTTCATTTCCTGTGTTCAGCTGTTTTCTTCTGTGTCACATACATGTGCACCAATCACATACATGTGCACCTCTCACATACATGTGCACCAATCACATACATGTGCACCACTCACATACATGTGCACCTCTCACATACATGTGCACCTCTCACATACATGTGCACCACTCACATACATGTGCACACGTCACGTCCAGCTGCCAACAAAATATATCAAACAACATATTTCAACAGTGTCATGAAATAATATTTAAACTGAAACCTAACCTTTAAAAAAGTGACTGTAACAGTTTAACACAGTTTTAGATCGGTGGTGACTTCCTCTTCCTGATGATGTCATTATCTCTGATGTCCATCATGAACAAACGTTAAGAAATCTGTCGATCATCATAGAAACAGAGTCTGCAGAACTTTACAGAGAATCCTCCTGTTTTCAAGTTTCCTTCAGTAAAACAGTGAAACAGAACATCATGATTCACTGCAGACAGGAAGTGATCACAGCTGATCACAGCTGATCACAGCTGATCCAGCTGCTGGTACTGGGACAGTTTGTCTACAGTGAAACAGATTCTGAGTAAAAGACAGAGGCAACATTATTCTTCCTGTCTTATAATAATGATCATTATTTCCCTCGAACAGAAGTTAGATAAAGAAGAATTATATCAGTGACAATATGTATCAACATTAACTTTCCATGTTGCACTATAAATAATATATTTTAGGTTTAATTAAGACTCAAAATGTCCCATCGCTTTGAGAACAATACAATCATTGTGGTGGTGGACGTCACAGCACTGTGTCTCCATCCTCATTAAACTCCTTACCCAGAATCCCGTCTGTCTCTTCCACTCTCTCACTGCTCTGCTCTGACAGTTTCTCACCTGAAGGGCAGGGGGCAGTGTCCGTCCTCCTCCCTGGGGGGCGGCTCCAACTCATGGGGGGGCAGGACGCTGATGTCATCACTCTGCTCCAAGTTCTCCGACATCATCATCGGCCTGGAGAACGAGGAGGGCAGAACAAGAACCATTAGAACAAGAACCATTAGAACAAGTCATAATGAGCACTACACTTCAAACTTATGGAGGAGCAGTGATGTCAAAGAAAAAATAATAAAGCACTTCATTAATTTCATATTTTAACAGACATTAAAAACAGGAATTGTAAGAAGATTTTATAAATGAACGATTAATCATCCATAAATACTGAAAGTTTAAAAATTGATTTACAAAAACAGCATCAAACTCTCATTAAATAAACCATTTACAAACATTTATTAAGTCATGAAAAAATAATAGAACTTAAAGTATTTGAAAAGGAAGTTTGAAAATGTGAATTCCATTTCCTGTTAGCTCATCGATTAGCTTAGTCATTTAGCTTCTCCTGTTAGCCTGTCTGTGACACTCTGGTCTTCAGTGCAGTAAAACCAGGCTAAACAATCCCAGCTGGCCATGAGATGTAACAAGCTCTCTGATTGGTTGGAGAGCTGACCAGTCATATCGGGTTTTACCAGCAGTAAAGCTAAAGCTAAATGACTAAGCTAATCGATCAGCTAATAGGAAAAGGAAATGTTATTTATTCCTATTTTTAAAATGTCTTTTCAGATGGTTTTTATTTATTAAGTTTATTTAATGAGAGTTTGATGTTGTTTTTGTGAATCCATTTTTAAATATTTATGGATGATTAATTTGTTCATTTATAAATTCTTTTTACAATTCCTGTTTTTAATGTCTCTTAAAATATGAAATGAAGGACATTACTTATTACTTTCTCTGCGACATCACTGGTCCTCCGTACAATCGGAGGCCTCTACAGTTCTAGTTCATTGTTAGTGTGAGTAGTATTTGTAGTAATACTTGTATCGATACTACTTGTATTGATACAGTACTGCGTCGTCTCTGTGACACGCTGGGGGGTGTGGACGAGGGAGAGCTCTGATTGGTCACAGGAGAAACCCTTTGTTGTGAAGCTGTGACGAAGCTCTCGGAAAAAAACCTTCACACGCCCTGAATCCCAGCACGCGCTCACATGCCGAGCGAGGATCCTCTGTCCTCTGTTACCATGGCAACAGGATTAAAAAAGGGGGGGGGGGTGTTGGCAGCTCAGATCAAGTATTTTTTTGCTCCTCCGTGTCGGTTCAACCCGGAGCAGAAAAGCAGTTTTCTAGCTCCCGCTGATCAACACTTCAACAGGATTACTGAGGAAACACGGATTGAGGTGAAAAGTGTTGCCATGGTAACCTGTGGTCACCTGATTCCCCCTGTGACCTGAGTTTACATTGATTTGTTTTATGATTGGATCAGTGTCCAGAGGAATGTGATGTTCTTCTTCTTGTTCTATTTCCAGCTTGAATATATTGAAGGACCTGGACCTGTGACCTCTGTGTGACCTCTGTGTGACCTCTGTGTGACCTCTGTGCTGTAAACACTGATGTGATCTGCTGATAAAGTTTTGTTTCTATTTTCACTCCAGCAGCAGCAGCAGCTCGACCGCCTGTTCCTGCACCATCTTTGACACCCATGATGCATCAGTTCAGTGTCTTGCCCAAGGAGGAGCCGGGAGTCGAACCTCCGACCTTCCGATCAGAGGTGTAGTAGTGGAGGATCAGTGGGACGAACCCAGGGTTTACTGTCACCTCATTAGCCTCAAATGTCAATGATTATTGGTGCTGAATAAAGACACCTGATCACCTAATCACTCATTAATATTGGTCGCACACTGAAGCTGGTGAGCTGAATTAACGTTGTCACGTGACTGATGAAGAGATAACGGCGAGACTATAAGATTCATCAGGTGACGTCGGCACCTGAGACTCAAATCAAACATCAGGACACGAGTCAGCGATATAAAAAAACATGGCCGCAGTTACAGTGACAGTTAAGTCTCATTACGTCTCAGAACACAGTGTTCTTCCTCACACACAGGACACACACCTGATCAATTACACAGGAAACTTTTTGAGTATAATTTGTTTCGTTGTTCAGTCGGTTATTAATACGAGTTAAAGAACATAAGATTAGAATATCTATTGATCCCGGAACAGGAAATACAAATCAATAACAGCAGCAGAACGGGGAATGTGATAAGAAATAGAACATGAATAGAAAATACAGATACTATATACAAGGCTAATTTCTGTCAGGATTTTGGTGGATGGACGGTAACAGGAGATTGATTGATTGTTTAAGTGACGAGTAGGACTGAACCATGAAACGATCTCAGAAGAAATGATCTTTATTTAATTTCATTTTCACAAAAAAAAGAAGATTAATAGGATGATTATGATAATTTTTACCTTCATCACATAAACTGCAGCTCCTGTGATTTGGATGTTACACCTGGTCACACTGTCAATTCGAATCATATTAAAATAAACAGGCTGAAAATAAAAAGGCCGTGTCGACACTGAACCACACAGATGGTCAGAGAAGCTTCAGGACCCGAAGAGCAGGTCACTGATTCCACCTGTGCAGACATTTCTGAGGGACCAAAGGTGGAAATGAACCACAGTTGCCATGGCGACAGGCATGATCCTCACTCACACACACACACACGCGTGCATCTCCCTCCCTCCAGCTGACAGCTTCTCCTCCTCCTCCTGGTTTCCATGGAGCAGAGTGTTGGTTCGCTCTCGCTGGAGTCTGATTGAATCAGGCAGCACCCCAGGGAGACGCAGCCTGTTCGCTGCGATGGGACTCTTTAATACTTTCACTTGTGGCTCCACTTCCTGCTGTCATCAGTTAATACTCGCTCAGCGTTCAGCAGAGAGGGTGGAGTCTGGTCAGAGAGAAACAATTCTTCGACAGTGTTAAAAGCCTTACAGGAACCCGGCCTCCACCCTTTACACCAACATGTGAGGGTGTAAGCAGGTTTTTTAAACGTGGGTAAACCTGCCCGTTAGCCAAGACATTAGCCGAGCCGCTAACTGGACAAAATGTATCCGTGGCGTCTCATCCCCGGGTTGCTGCTCCTGTCAGTGTCAGAGTCAGCACCGTCTGGACAGGTGACAGGTGTGTGTTCACGTCAGTGCTGATCGGAGCTGATAAATACCTGCGTCTGCTGCAGAGTCATGTGACCCGGGTGTGAATGCAGATTGTTCTCTTTCACATCTTCAACAAATGCCTGATGTTATCGGGTGTGAGCGGGTGTTAGCAGGCGTTAGCGGGTGTTAGCAGGTGTGAGCTGGTGTGAGCGGGTTTGAGCAGGTGTTAGCGGGTGTTAGCGGGTGTAAGCAGGTGTTAGCNCCGGGTGTGAATGCAGATTGTTCTCTTTCACATCTTCAACAAATGCCTGATGTTATCGGGTGTGAGCGGGTGTTAGCAGGCGTTAGCGGGTGTTAGCAGGTGTGAGCTGGTGTGAGCGGGTTTGAGCAGGTGTTAGCGGGTGTTAGCGGGTGTAAGCAGGTGTTAGCGGGTGTTAGTGGGTGTTAGCAGGTGTTAGCAGCAGGTGTCAGGGGGTGTTAGCAGGTGTTAGTGGAGGATAGCAGGTGTGAGCAGGTGTGAGCAGGTGTAAGCAGGTGTTAGCGGCTGTTAGTGGGTGTTAGTGGGTGTTAGCGGGTGTTAGCAAGTGTTAGTGGGTGTTAGCGGGTGTTAGTGAGTGTTAGCAGGTGTGAGCAGGTGTAAGCGGGTGTTAGCGGGTGTTAGTGGGTGTTAGCAGGTGTTAGGAAGTGTTAGCGGGTGTGAGCAGGTGTAAGCAGGTGTTAGCGGGTGTTAGCGGGTGTTAGTGGGTGTTAGCAGGTGTTAGCAGGTGTTAGCGGGTGTTAGTGGGTGTTAGCGGGTGTTAGCAGGTGTTAGCAAGTGTTAGCGGGTGTGAGCAGGTGTAAGCAGGTGTTAGCAGGTGTTAGCAGGTGTCAGGGGGTGTTAGCAGGTGTTAGCGGAGGTTAGCAGGTGTGAGCAGGTGTAAGCAGGTGTTAGCAGGTGTCAGGGGGTGTTAGCAGGTGTTAGCGGAGGTTATGGCAACAGGATTAAAAAAAGCAGGTGTTAGCAGGTGTTAGCAGGTGTCAGGGGGTGTTAGCAGGTGTTAGCGGAGGTTAGCAGGTGTGAGCAGGTGTAAGCAGGTGTTAGCGGGTGTTAGCAAGTGGTAGCGGGTGTTAGCGGGTGTTAGCAGGTGTTAGCAAGTGTTAGCGGGTGTGAGCAGGAGTAAGCAGGTGTTAGCAGGTGTTAGCAAGTGGTAGCGGGTGTTAGCGGGTGTTAGCAGGAGTTAGCAAGTGTTAGCGGGTGTGAGCAGGAGTAAGCAGGTGTTAGCAGGTGTTAGCAGGTGTTAGTGAGTGTTAACAGGTGTTAGCGGCTGTTAACAGGTGTTAGTGGGTGTTAGCAGGTGTTAGTGAGTGTTAACAGGTGTTAGCGGGTGTTAGTGGGTGTTAGCAGGTGTTAGCAGCAGGTGTTAGCAGGTGTCAGGGGGTGTTAGCAGGTGTTAGTGGAGGTTATCAGGTGTTAGCAGGTGTGTGCAGGTGAAAGCAGGTGTTAGCAGGTGTTAGCAGGTGTTAGCGGGTGTGAGCAGGTGTAAGCAGGTGTTAGCAGGTGTTAGCGGAGGTTATCAGGTGTGAGCAGGTGTGAACAGGTGTAATCAGGTGTTAGCAGGTGTTAACAAGTGTTAGCGGGTGTGAGCAGGTGTGAGCAGGTGTGAGCAGGTGTTTTGACCAGTGGAAAAGAAGCCTAAGAGTCTCGAGCCGTGTTCACACCTCAGTCTTACTTCAGTTTAAGGGTATTTGTTCATTAAAGAACTGGACAAATTCAAATGTGACCTGATGGTGGCGGTGGAGGAAGATCCTCTTTGATACAGGAAATGACAGTTAGTTGCAGCCCCAGTTTAAAATCACAAATGCATTATCAAAGGGAAAAACAGAAGCTAGTGAAGAGGAGTCAGGACATGGAGCATCACCACATACATGTAAGTCAACAGCAGGAATATGACGCGAGCTGAGTGTTCAATAAGATCAAACCCGGTGATATCTGATATTTGACTCTGTGATATTTGATATTTGTCCGGCTGCTGTGGC